AGACCAGGGCCGGCCTCGCTCTGCGCCCCCCCCTGGGGCCCGGTGCGAAGACCAGCCGTGTGTTCTCCCTCCTGGCCGGCCTGTGACCGCTGCAGCCGGGGGGAGCGGATGCTGCCTGGCTGGGCCCGGCCCGTGGCTCGGCACAGCACTGCCCTGAGGCCTCCGTGCTGGGTGGTAGTTCTGGGACCAGGAGCCGGGTAGTACGGGGAGAGCTCAGGCTCTGGGGTGCTTTGCTAGCCCTGTGCCTGCGGCCGGCCCACCCCAGCCGGCGTTTGCTGCCCCGACGGCCGTTCCCCCTTGGGAAGGGCTGAATGTCCTACATCTGTCAGCGGTTTCTGGCACCGACCCTTGATGCAGACGCAGGAGTTTCCAGTTGGTGGCAGCAGCAATTCATGGGTCTCCCTTCACAGGGTTCGGATACTGTTGAAGTTCTAGGGGGCCCCAAGGCTCTGGGTGGTGCTGGGGCTCCCAGAAGGGCTGTGAGGAGGTGCGGGGGGTTGACGGAGGCTGGGAAGGTGGTAGGGGCCGTGGCTTATGCTGCTGTTTGCTCAGTTCCAGCTGACTGTGCCCGTCTCGGTGGTCTTTGCCAAGGGGGCTCTGCCAGGAGCTCAGTGGAGGAGACTCCCTTTCACAGACACACAGGAGGAGGAGAGCCTGTTAAACCGTAAGAACCTCTGACTGCTGGGGGGTTGTGCTTTTGCTGTAACCCCTTTGTTCGCTTTAATCTCTCCCCCGACTCTCCCCACTGTCCCTGTCTCTCCCCTTGGCTGTTGCTGAGCTCACGGCCTCCTACAGATGGCTTTGAGCTAGTGCAATGGAGGCCAGCAGCCCCGTCCACCATGGCCCTGCAGGGACTAGCTCAACTAGGCAAGTGGTGTCCCCATTTCTCCCCTCCAGCTGCAGGAGCTAGGCCCACTCTGGGGCTGGGACTGTCCCCCACAGATTAGTCATGGTGGCGACTAATGACACGGGAAGTTTCTTACCTTGTTCCAAGCCGTGAAAGGCTGGAGCTGCTCTCCTCCAAGCAGGAGCCTCTTGTGACCCCAGTGCAATTAGGCAGTGAGCTAGAGAGGGACTGGCTGGTGAGATACAGGCGTGGAGGGTGAAGAGCAGGGGGCACTGACTGCTCCCCGCCTGCAGCGTTGGAGCGAGGCCGGAGGGAGCCACTGAGGAGGGACAGTTCCGAGAGCTGAGGTTAGCTGGAGCACAATGTTCCCAAGTGTCTGGGGACACACACCATGAGGTGGGAGGGGCACATGGGTGGGTAACGAGAATCGGAGTAAAACGAAGGGAAGGAAGCTCCCTGCCCGTGAGGTAGGTCATGCTGAAGTTATCTTCCCAGGGAGGGGAGCCCCGTCCCTTGTGACACATCAGACTGGGCAAACCCTAGGGACCTGTCCTGCCTGTTGGGATGGACCGGCTGGGCCTAAGGGGAGGCTTAGGGCATGCGCACAGCTGGGAGAAGGTGCTGTGTCCCTTTCAGCCCTGGTTCCTTATCAGGGTTACCAGAGCAGGACCCTGGTGCTGGAGAGCACAGCACATAGGGCCAGCTGGCCTCACCTGCTCTCTCTTCCTTCCCCGCAGCAAAAACAAGCGTTACGGCCCGCTATGAGACGACTTATCGGAGTGCGACCGCCACGGAGCAGGCAGCCTTGGCCATGGCCACCGTGCAAGGTACAGGGTTGCACCGGTTCGGTAGGATACGCTAGGCTGCTGCCCTGGGGTAGAGCTGGCAAAGAGCAGGGAGTCCTGGCTCTCCTGGGGTGGCCGTGCAGCTGGCCATGCCCTGCGGCTGCTGCTCTGCGGTCTCTAGGCCCGACTAGGATGCAGGTGGTGGGGTGCCAGTTTGTTGCTGTACTTACCAGAAACACCCCGGTTGTGGGGAGCAACGAGCCGGCATTCCCAGGGTGCACGTCACCCGGGTTGCTGCTGCTAACTACCATGTGCAGCTCTTGGGGCATAGGGATGGGCTGCTCCAGGGCAGGGGGGAGTTCCAGGAGCCTGGGGGTGGGGCAGGGACCTAGGGGTGACTGTGGACACGGACTTGTGTTGTAGTGGGGGCTGCGAGGGAACCAGGAGTCCCGGCTGGAGATGGGCTAGGAGAGAGATGAGGGATTCCCCTCTCTGGAATACTTCCTTTGGGCAACTGGTAATGCCTGCTCCATCCCCCATGGGATGCCGCCTGACACGTGTGGGGTGAGGTTCCCAACAACACTAACTCCCTTCTCTTCCCAGAGGCAGACGCTGAGCTGCTCCCGCTGCAGGAGGACTCGGTGGGCGCTCTGACAGTATACGTGATCCCGGAAACCTCCCTTCTCCTGCCTCAGGTACAGCATCCTCTGCTGGGAGTGCCCCACCTCCTCGCTCTGGGACCAGGAGTGTGGCTTGGAGTGTCCCGGGGCTGCCTGCTGTGTCCCTGGAGCAAGAAAGCAGGCAGACACCCCCCAGAGAGATTGTGCTGGACGGGGACCTGCCCAGAAAGATGCCCTATTCCCCTGTCGCTCTCTTTCCTCCAGGCATAGGACGAGGGGCAGAGTCATGTGGCTGGGCCTTGGCAGGGGCCTGGGAGGTGGGCGATCTGAGGGGGAGGGGGCATTGCTGGAAGGGACATCCTTCTGCAGAAAGAGAGACGCTTGCCACGCTGCTTGGTGCACGCCCCATAGGCAGGAGGGGGCATGGATCTCCTGTGTATTTGGTGAGCTCTCCCCTGCCCTTCAGTGAAGTAGCTGCAGAACAATCCAAGACCCTCTTTGCCTGAGGCCGCTGTCCGTGGAGCTTCCCAGCCCTGTTATCCTGCGTCCAGGCACAAGAAGGGTCAGTCTGGGGCACCCCTGTCGGGCTGAGCACGCTGCCCTGGGAGCTCTCCGGTCCCAGGAGAGGGGAGATGTGTGCTCCTTGCCTCCCCCAGAGTCCTGGCTCACTGCCCTGCCTTCTCCACAGGGCATTGGTGTGTACGTCGGGAAGCACCGTAGCGCCGTGATGAGGCGTACGCAGGGCCCAGGGGATGTCCTGGCTGCCATTAGTGACCGGGTGCGGCAGATTGTGCAGGCCATGTCCTTCACCACCGACTCCATCACCACCGCCTTGTCTGATCGCGTCCCCATGGACCAGCTCGGCACGGACACGAGGCGCCCGTTCAAATCCAGCCTGGGTAGGTGCCTGCCATGAGAGCTGTTCCCATGGTGCTCTGCAGCACGCTGTCTTCCTTGGGCAGGGCTGGGGGCAGCACAGAGCCCACTTGGGCCACATTCCTCTCCCCCGCCTCGAATTCCCAGGCACCCCCTCCCTTTGAGTAACCAACACTCCGGGGTCCTCTGTGCACCCCAGCAACCCAGTGCCACTGTCCGGGAGCCCCTGAGCTCAGGAACGGGAGGCTGCGTCCCACAGTTACTCCTTGGAGCGCAGCTCTGGTCTCTCTCTGGCCCACTTGGCCTCTGCTCTGCTCTGGAATCATTGCGCATGCGCCTGCCCTGGGGGTCCGGGGCCGTTGGCAGGTGCTGGCCTGGCATGTGCTGCTGCAGCTCCTTGCAGTGGGATGTTGGTGGCAGGCTCTGCTCTCTGCTCTTCCCAGGGTACGAGATCACCTTCAGCTTATTGAACCCAGACCCCAAGTCCCATGACGTGCACTGGGACATCGAGGCAGCTGTCAACAGCTACGTGCAGCCCTTCCTCGACAAGCTGGGCTCAGTGGCCAACTTCTCAGTGGACTCCCAGGTGAGAAGGTGGTAGGAGGAGGGAGGGTGTCCCAGCCAGGCTGGCCACAGGGTGATCTTCCCACAACATCCATCTCCTTGGTGATCCCCTCAGATCCTGTACTATGCCGTCCTGGGGGTCTCGCCCCGCTTTGACAAGGCCTCCTCCAGTTTCATCCTGAGCGCGCTCAGTCTCCCCCACGTCATTAACCCGGTGGAAGCCAGGCTGGGTAAGTGCCACCTTGCGTCCTTGCTGTGGCCACTTGGAGAGGTTAGTGGTGCGGAGGGGAACGGCGGAGACCTGTGCCGGAAGACACAGCACAGGCTCTGCCCCACAGAGCCCTCGCTCGCAGCCCTGTGCCTCCATACTGCTGACTAGTTAGAAGGGCAGATCCCCGGTCAGAGGCATGGGCTGAGACCCAGCCGAATTCGTGCTGTTCCTGACCTGGCTGGGATCTCAACGCACGGCTCGTATTGAAAGCACCAATGTAACCCCCAGGCCGCTGACCCCTTCTCAGGAGCAGCTTGAGCCTGGCCCCAGTGACGTGCCCCACGCTGAGCTCCTGCAGGCAGCTTCCCAGGGTCCCTGTTGCCTGCCGGGGTCTGCCCCGGAAATGCCGTGATGCTCTCTGTGCGCTGCTGCAGGTTCCAGCGCCACTTCGCTCTACCCCGTGTTGAACTTCCTGCTGTACGTGCCAGAGCGCGTCCATTCCCCTCTCTACATCCAGGACAAGGACGGCGCCGCGGTGGGGACCAACGCCTTCCACAGCCCCCGCTGGGGTGGGATCATGGTAAGGAGGAGGGGCCCTGCCCTGTGTGCAGAAAGCACCGCTCTGCTCCCCCTGCAGGGCCTAGGCAGTCCCTTTGGTCCCCTGCCCCTGTGCTGGGGACTGGGACTGGCTGGGACTGGCCAGCTGGAGCCCTGTGCTGTGCTTGAGAGCTCCTGGTCCAGCTCCTCCAGCCCCCGCAGTGCCCACGGCGCCCTACGGGCTTTTCCACTTGCCCTTCCTGCGATGCAGCTGGTCTCAGCCGCTCTCCGAGATGGGAGGCCAGGCTAGCCGCGGCCTGGGCCTGAGCCCCCTGGCCGTTCCCTGAATAAGGCAGCACTGCGGGGTAGCCCAGAGCTGTGGGCTGACTGGAGAACAGGGACCAGGTGAGGCATAGCCTGCGTCAGGCCTGCCCTGGACACTCTCTCTTGGCAGGTGTACAACATCGACCACCCAGCTCCTGACAAGGCCCCTCTCCCGCTTCGGGTGGACGTGGACATGGTGCGAGTGATGGAGGTGTTCCTGGCCCAGCTACGGTGAGGACGCTGCTGTCCCCTCCGCCCTGCCCCAGCCCTTCCATTCTCTGCATTCGTTATGTTCAGTTCCCCCAGAGCAGCGTGAGGCTGTGGCCCCCGGGGCTGAGCGCAGACCCTGCCTGCCCTGGGAGGTGTGTGCCAGGGCAGAGACGCTGCCTCTGACTCCCCTGCTCTGCAGCCTGGGGCTGGTTCTGTACTTCTCCTAGACGCTCTGGCAATGTGAGGACAGGCTTCTCCCGGGTCGCTGGCTGGCTTAGGGGATTGGCAGTGGCATGTGGCTCCTGTCTCCCCTTAGCTGCTGCGTCACTCTGGCCTAGGGTGCTGGCAGCTGGAGTTGTCCTGTCTGACAGCTGTTCAGTAGCGTTGGTGGGTCTTGGACCAAGGCCCATGACCACAAAGCCCACAATCCCGTGAACTTGTCCCTTCTCGGCCACAGTGTCACAGATAGTCCTGTGGCACTTTTAAGACTAACAGAAGTATTGGGAGCATAAGCTTTCGTGGGTAAGAACTATG